CCGCTTCGCGTCGGACGGTTCACGCCTCCGCGTCGTCCATTAATTTCTGATAATGGACACCTCGTCGGGCATTATCCCTTACATGTTGCCTTTATGAGATCAATGAACTGCTACAGAGAAAACAAAACTTTTCCTCTGCATGCAACAAAAACATTTTGAACTCTGAAAGAAAAGACTCTGGTTGAAGGTTTCTTTCAAATAAAATACTCAATGACTATTTGAATCCTCCTCGTATATATGAAATTAAAAAGCCGAACTTAAATGATCCACCTGCAGCAAAGTAACAATGACGTCTGGTTGTCCTGCTGCCTGCAGCTGGGACTGCTGACCAGACTGCTGACCGCCTTTGAGCGCTTTGGGACGGGAGGAGCTCACAGCAGCACCGCTGCTAATGTTACAAGATCACCATAATCTTCAAATTTAAAATTGCATTTTAAAAATGTACAAACAAAAATAAAATAAATAGAAATTAAATACTCAATATTTATTTTCCAAAGCCACAAGGAGCTGCAGCAGAGGTATAAAAGAGCCACGGGTTGACCACCCCTGGTCTAAGGAGCTGTGCATGCACACCCCTTGAAAAAGACGAAAGAGAAAGTAAGACGGCTTCGTTTCCCTGAAACCATGTGACTTATAGAAAAGCGGTCTCATCGCTGATGGAAGATTACACTCTGTGCTACAGAGAGGCTCACTGTGCAAAATAAAATCATACATGTAAACATAATGCCTAAAAGACACATTACACCCTTTGTTCTTTAGTCTGTGCAGCGTTTCCTGTGTGGCTGACTGCTACACAACAGTGAGTGAAGTTTCTTCCCAGTCGCTCCTCCATGCAGACTTCATTTTGCACCAGCATACCTGCAACAGCGTTCCTTTGAGCTCTAACTTTGTTTGCTGTGTGCAAGAATCAGAGACAGATTTATAACAGGATACACATGCAATGTCACTGGTCAGAATAACTCCTCCTGAGACATTTGACTGGCTTGACGTAAACAGTGAGTTGGAGGAAGGAGCCTTTTTATGTCGACGACAGCAGNTAAACATAACAGTGACTTAGCCAAGCTTCCTACTGGATGTTCATTATATCTGCAGTTTTTCTTTCTTAAATTTCTTGCATGCAACTGATACAATACGAGCCCTGGCATGGCAGCTCTGCCACCATCGGTGTGTGTGAATGAGCAACACATTGTAAAGCGCTTTGGAACCACTAAGGTAATATATACAAGTGTAGGACATGGACTAGCTTTACAGTTTCTATCAAGTCTTTATAGAAGATTATAAATGTTGTCATTGAAAGCCAAAGAGAAAAAACATTTTTCCCATCTGGAAAAAGATCACCAAGACCACCTTGTTTTCTGAACACATTATAAATGTCTCATTTGTTCCACAATCAAAATCTGGGATCTCATTTTCAGTCAAACAGTCACTGAACATGCACAGAAGGAAGTTAAGTTTCCTGATTGTTTCTTTTGCTGTATTTATTTAGTTTGGTTAATGTATTATTTATGTATTAAACCACAGACTGTATAGAGAAGATGGACATAGCTACAGTGATGTCACCCCTCAGTCTGTGGACGACCTGGAGCTTAGGATCTGTTCACATGTTGGTCTTTTGAATCTGACGTGGATGTGATTGATAACTCAAGGACACAGGGAGATGGCAGTGACCTGTCAATCACAAGGTAGCCCCGCCCTAAAACATACCTTACTTTATCATCTGCTTTCCTCAAAATGGGACCATAACTTACAAAATTAAATCATGCTGTATTCAGAAAGACTTGAAACTAGCAACTGAGATCATAAAGGCATCAGAAAAAGGTTTACAAATGGAACAAATCAAGGGAGAAGTTGTCTCATTTTCTCTTTGACTTCAGTACAATCTGGCTGATTTTAGAAACCGTTGGAGTCGCCCCCTGCTGGCTGTTACAAAGAATGCAGGTTTATAGAACCTCTGGTGTGGCTTCACTTTTCAGACCCACATCATTTATATACAGTCTAAGATTGAAATATATCAGTATCTGTGTTTTCTGTCCAGCAGCTATAAGCCACATAAACTGTCTTAGAATAAAGTAAATATTTGATCTGCTTCAGAACACATAGTACCATGCTAGCTGTTGTTGAACTAAAATGAGGACAGATTCAGCAACTGCATCGCTTATTTCTCACCTCAAATCTTTTCAGAAATACTTTTCGCTGAATGGTTTTCGTAATAAAAGCGAATGTTTGCGGGTGAGCTGCCATGTTAGTTCCTGCTTCTAAGGGACTGGCGTCTGGAAACGTGGCTGTCATGTGACCACCTAGTGGCCCGCTAGTGCACGCCTGTCAAGCGGGCGATATTCAGAAGCAATGCATTGCCACGCAGGTAAAACTGCCCCTGTGGACACGTAGCATAGAGGGTCGTTTTACTGCTCGTTTGCACAGAGGACTGCACTTTCAGTTCTGTTGTATCTATACAATGACAATAAAGATATATTGATTGATTTTGATATTGATTGACTGGACCAACACTGACTGTATGTATCGGAGGGAACGTAAAGAACAATGGAGAGAATGCAGAAGTATTTCAAGGTCAATGGAATCAAAAAGTTCTTGGCATGAACCTTAAGGGACTCCATAACAATTCATGTAAATGATTCAAATATTACCTGAGTGTTGAGCTTGATGACGATCATTCACTGGACCATGCTATAAAAAAATAAAATAAAGTGACAGTCATTTTATCTGATGATTAGTTGTTTAGGTGAGTGAGGCTTACTGAGATCATTACATGTTTAAAAGCTGCCTTTACCTTGGCTTTAGCTGCACTCTCCTCCAACTCAACTGCAGTCATGAGAAAGCAGAATGCAAACAGCTCACAGAACAGTATTTGTCAAACAAACAATGGTATTATGAAATTGTGTTTTCAAAAATTCAACTACTATTGTTATTTGTCCCAGATGTACCAGAGTTAGCCTCATATTGTCCTTCCCTCCCATCTGCTGTATCATCACTGCTCTCTTCCATTTTATCTTTACAGTCAGAAGATAAAGTCATTCACAAAAATGCATCAATGCCCACACTGCATGATCAGACAACTACAACTACTATATCTAACACACAAAACATTTTAACAAACATTGTTAAGATTTCATTGACGGTCAAATGTTGCAAATATATTAGTTTGAAGAGTCGACAACTTTTCATTTTGTCCTTGTAGAAGCAGGATAATCCACCCATGTTCAAGACAGAGTCAGTGGTGTCAGAGCACAAGAGGGGGCTGGAACACACTGCCTAATTCACATCCTTTCACTTTGCAAACAAAGTCTGAAAAACTGCCAGCTCTAACTTTTGTCTGTTTTATTCAG